GTGAGCTTCTGAGGCCATAAGATCAGACCACTGGAATTCTATTCTACTCTTCAATCCACCTTCAAGATTTTCCCATACAAGCTCATGCTTAGCAAAATTAACACTTTGAGAACTGAGAAATTGACCATCCAAAAAAATTTTGGTTTTAGGAAATTCACCCAAAGTCTAAAAACTAATTTTTCTAAGGAAAAAAAAGTTTTTTTTCCTGAAAAGTAAAGGAATGTGAATGGACAATTATGCCCCTTGTGTTTTCTTCTTCCCTTTCTTCTATTTTCAAAATGTGACCTTTCAAATGGACAATTGACCCAAGTTTAAAAACTAGTTTCTTCTATTTATTCAATTATGCCCCTTGAGTTTTCTTCTTCCCTTCCTTCTACTTTGTTTTTTTGGTGAATAGAGTAGTTTCTGAAGATTATACGATGACTTTTAGTTGAAAGGTTGTTGGGATTATGGTTTAGACAGTTTTTGAATGTGGTGGTGTAACTAATTTTTGAAAAAAATGAAGAGTGATTCCAATTTGCACGAGAGGTTTCTGGTTTCTTGATGAAAACCAAGGAAGTTTAGCCCAGGAAATAAAGCAGTGGGAAAAAATAGATGCCAAAATTCATGCGAGTTCGAAAAAAACTCTCCGAAGTGGTATGAAATTCGCCCCAGAACCATTGGTTCAAGAGTGAGTTTTCATAACTTGGGATGCTCTGAGCAAGGTCACAGTTTGTAATATAGATATATATACACTCACATTATTTGTTATATGCTTTAATAGAGTTTTCTTTAGCATGTTGGCATCCAGCAGACCTTAGAGCACTCGAGTTCGATCCCTACAATGGGCAATTCCCAATTCTTCCTATGCTATTATTCATCCAAGGAGAATCGAACTTTCGAACCACCAAGCTAAGGGAAACTTCATTAAAAAATATAACAATTAATATACATATATTACAAACTTTGACCTTGCCAGAGATTTACATCTTGCGAGTTTTCTTCAAACTCACCCGAGTTTGCTTCAAACTTGTATGTGTTTCTGCTCTATACCTCGCACTTTTGCAGGGCTTTTTTTTTAATAATGTTTTTTTAACTTATTTTTGGTTTAAATAAAATTAAATAAAAATGTGTTTTTTCAAACTTATTCCAAAAATAATGCTTTTGAAATCTATGCGAGTTTTCTTAAAATGCGTTTTTTGAAAACTTGCATGTGTTTCTGTTCCATACCTCACACTTTTGCATGGCTTTTCTTTTTTTTATATATATTATTAATTGTTAAAAAAAGGAAAAATGTGTGAGTCCCAACTCGGACCCACTAAGAGTTATCTTGCTTTTAAAACTACTGCATAATATTTAATACAACATAATATTTTACTTTTTTTTCTAAAAATCAACATCCAGCTAGAGGCGTGTCAAAAACAGACGTAGTACTAAGAAAGTGCCACGTCTTATGGTCGTCTCTTGAAGAGACAAGTGCTGACGTTGACATGGTCGTCTCTAGAGACCATGCGGCGGAATAATTTCAAAAGCAGTATTTTTTAAATAAGTTTGAAAAAATGCATTTTTTATTTAATTTTATTTAAACGAGCATAATTTTAAAAATAAGTTTTTAATAAAACATTATTAAAAAAAGACCGCTTTTGCATGTGTTTCTACTCCATACCTCACACTTTTTCATCAAAGTAAGGATAGTTTTTACTTTCACCTTCGCTAACATATCAGAAAAAAGTTTTTTGAATCAGAAAAAAAGTTTTGAAATTTTGTCAATTACCTAAACCCAAAAACTTTTTGGATCCAGATCACCTTCATATCTTGATTTCTACCGTGAACAAACAAGACCTAAGTTACTTGATATCTATAAAATTTTCCAATCATTAGAATCACAAGGGAGATCAATTTTACCTCCCAACCTCCAATTCTCAGAAGTGACGCAGGAAAGTTTGATGCCTTCAGCTTGTCAGCAGTGGCTTTATTTTCCTTTACTATTGAAGAGTTGAAGCTTTCACATTCGCCACATCGCTTGAACTAGCAGTTGATTGAGACAGCTTCATTTGGATTAGATCCAACTAGGCTCACGTTGCTTCTCGTTTGACAAGATCCTGCCAAAAAAAAACAAAAAAAAAGGGCA